TTGTTACAATGGTCTGAAACTGCAGGCTCAGAGGCCGGCAAGGCAGGCGGGGAACGTTGGAGTCCTCGGTCACTGAAGCAAGCAAGCCTCATGTTCAGTTTAAGCTTCCTGGCTGCCGGCCGCCATCTTGGCTGACAGTTAATTTGCATATCGCCCCTGATTAGCCAATGGGAAAGGTAGCGGTCGTACGCTAATTACCATGTTTCTCTTTTATTAGATAAGGACTAGAGGCCCAGTGCACGAAATTTGTGCACAGGGGGGGTCCCTAGTGACCAGTGATCAGGCTGATCAGGTTTCCTGCCTCCTCCTTCCCTCACCACCCACACACCACCACCACGTGGTTCCCACCTCCTCCTTCCCTGCACGCTGCCACCATCCCCAGTACCCTGTCCCAGCCCAGCCTGGGGCCCAGCCCAATCGGGACCTACTGGCCAGGGGGAGGGACTGGGAGATTGACCGGCAGTCCCCTATCAGGCAATTGGGGCCTGCCGGCTGGAGGGAGGAGCCAACCGCCACCACAGCAGGCAGACAGCAGGCCAATTGGGGCCTGACAGCCAGGGGAGGGTCAGGGGGTGGGCCCCGGGAAGTTGGCCGCTTGCCCCGAGGAGGGAGCCGTCCCTTGGCCCCTACGGGAAAGGGGCCGCGTCCACTGCCACCCACCCCCAGTTCTCCTGCAGGCTGGGGGCAGCTCCTGCATTGAGCATCTGCCCCCTAGTGGTCAGTGCATGTCATAGCAACCAGTCATTCCGGTCGTTCTGGTCATTCTGTCGTAACTAGTCGCCTAGCCAGTGGTCGGCAAACTGAGGCTCGGCAAACCATAGCTCACAAGCCACATGCAGCTCTTTGGCCCCTTGAGGGTGGCTCTTCCACAAAATACCGGCTCTTCCACAAAAATACCGACTTCTGCACATGGGCCACAAAGTTTCAATCGCACTGTCCGTGCATGCCCGCACGTGGTATTTTGTGGAAGAGCCGCCCTCAAGGGGCCAAAGAGCCGCATGTGGCTCGCGAGCCATGGTTTGCCAACCACGGGCCTAGGCTGATAAATATATAACTTGAATTTCACTCCCTGCTAACATTTACCAATAGTTTAGAGTAGATACATGTGATATCTTCTTCTAGGGATAGGAGCTGAGGATAAAACAACTTTTCAATACTTCTTACTAACATTTATTTTCATTTGAAGAATAATACATTTAACTCAGTGATTATTTTCAAATTCCTAAAATAGGTTCAACATAAAAGTGTAGTTCATGGTTGTCTGTAAAGAAGAATCTACAAAGGATAGGAAAAACAAAGCTCAGTATTTTAGACAAATATTTCCTAAATTTCTATGATTTCAAGTTCAAGTACATAAAAATGAATTTCCCTTTGTGTTTACAATAAAGATTGGTTAATTGGAAACAGTAGAGCAAAATTTTTCCATATGCAGGAGATATTACCCAAGTTTCAGAGCCGTCTCAGTAGATTAGCCAGCTTCAATTTACAGAGAAACTTAGATCTGATTTACGTACATAATGAGAGTTGGCACAGGGCTGAGCATATAAATGGTCACATTCCAAGTATTTTCCCCAATCATCTGTGACATATCTTCAAGATTTAAAATTCCATCTGCTTTGTTCCCCAACTAATATAACCAGGTTCTAGTTATGAGGAAAAAGGCACATACCATGCAGATGCTTTATGAGGAATGTTCTCATTGCTTTTTTCAAGTTGGTTTGCATTAGTGAAAAGACACAGCGTGGGACTTATTATTAAAAAATTATTCAGAAAACAACAACAACACAATAGTAGTTGCTCAGAGGAATTAAACCCAAAATCACATGGCCTACAAATAAAAAAGTTTCAAATGTAAACTATGTACACTATCTGATCCAACTGAAAGGCAGGTTGTCAAAATCATTCATACAGTGTTATTTCACACTAGAGCAGGGGTGGGCAAACTTTTTGACTTGAGGGCCACAATGGGTTCTTAAACTGGACCGGAGGGCCGGAACAAAAGCATGGATGGAGTGTTTGTGTGAACTAATATAAATTCAAAGTAAACATCATTACATAAAAGGGTACGGTCTTTTTTTTCAATAGTTTTATTCATTTCAAACGGGCCAGATATCCAGCCCGCAGGCCGTAGTTTGCCCATGGCTGCACTAGAGGCCCAGTGCACAAAATTCATGCACGGGTAAAGTACCTAGGCCCAGCTGGCAATGAGGGCCGATCAGGGCCTTCCAGCTGCTGGCCCGGGCCTTCCTTCTGGCAGCCAGCCAGGGCCTTCTTTAGTTCTGCACCGCCCCCTGGTGGTCAGCATATGTCATAGCTGGAGATGGAACTCCCAGTCTCCTGGTTGAACTCCCGAGGGGACAATTTACATTTTAGGCCAGGGGTTCTCAACCTGTGGGTCGCGACCCCTTTGGGGGTCGAACGACCCTTTCACAGGGGTCACCTAAGACCATCGGAAAACACATATATAATTCCATATTGTTTTTGTGATTAATCACTATGCTTTAATTATGTTCAATCTGTAAGAATGAAAATACATCCTGCATATCAGATATTTACATTACGATCCATAACAGTAGCAAAATTACAGTTATGAAGTAGCAACGAAAATAATTTTATGGTTGGGGGTCACCACAACATGAGGAACTGTATTAAAGGGTCGCAGCATTAGGAAGGTTGAGAACCACTGTATTAGGCTTTTATATATATAGATGCGTTGGGACTGCTGTGAAATACTCTGTTACTAAGGAGGTAGTTCTGGCTTGGAGACACTGGCCACTGGTTGGCAGCTCTAGCCAGATAGCTTAGGACCTAACTTTATGCTGAAAATTACAAAGAATCAAACAACAAAGGTCCTAGGTCCTAGGATGAGTGTCAGAAGAGCCAAAACTAAAAAAAAAAGAAATAAAAGAAAAGAATTAATTATTTTTTAATTGCTTTCAGAGAAATAAAGAGAAGGATGTTTTGGCCATGACCCAACAGGGGATGAATGTCCCTCTGGACAGAAATTATGTGAACTGAAAATTCTCCATAGTAACCAATCTAATTAATTATTCAAAGCTAGAGTTTTATTTTCTAAGGTTAAGAACTAACTATGGTCTCCTGTTTCTATCATTAAAAACTGGTTTCTTCTTTATATCTGCTTACTTAGGCATCAATGAGAAGCTTCTCATGGGATCTTAAAAGCAACTTTATCACAAAGACCCCACTTTCAAGGTTAAGTGTGCCATTTTGTAGGCTTGATTTAAGGGATAACTAATAGAAAACGTGTCTTGGTTCCAGAATCAAAAGTTTTAAAGTCTACTTTATCTGTAAGTACAGAAACAACAGATATTAACATTATCACATGGTATTATAAGATCTTTTGAATGAAGGAATTAACTATAATTCAGTGATGTTTTGGAAATAAGTGAATTTTTTTTATATTTTAAGAGAAATTAGAACTAAAATGTTAATCACTCAATAACTTGGAAAACCAGTATTTCTCCAACTCTGGGTTAACATGAATTTAGAGTGAATTGACACCATTTCAGGGAAATTAATCCATGCTAACAGAATTTTATTGCACAATACAAGTAGACAATGTGTAGTTTTTCTAGCAAGAGAAAGAGAGTGTTAATACTGAGTGGTCACTGAAATGACCTTAGAACAGTTCCTCACATGGACTAGAATGGAGTCACAATGACTACAAATGTACCAGACTCTACACACAGAAATGAAATTCAACCCAAATTAAGTAGCTCCCATCAAAATAAAATGGGCACTGAGTGGGCTACACTTGTTAAGGGGATAATATGATACTCAAAAGAGGACGACTAGGCAGCCAGCAGTTGGTCAAACAGAAAATGCAATCACATGTGCAAAAAGGGTAAAAACTTCCTAGAAACCAAATTCCTGGACACACCTGCTGTCCCACAATGTCTCAAACTGGATCTCTGGATCTGAATGACCTTTTAAAATTAGGAACAAGTCTTCTAGGGAAGGATTCAGTTCATAACCCAAACTCATTTCAAAGTCACTTCTCATAAAAAAACTAGCCATGTATTTAGTTTCTCACAGCTCCAATATGCTGTCTGTTCTAACACATATCACTTCTCCGACCCGTGCCCAAGGCAGGGACATGGGCCCAGCCTGGGCTGGGGTCCTGCGGCCACACCTACCAGGCTTGCTCACCCCAGCTCCTTCCTGAACACATACCTGGTTCCTTCTTGCTTCCCTTTCCTCCCTCTCGGCTCTTCTTCAGCACCGCCTTTAACATTTTCGACACTCCTTTGTTTCTAAAGGGAAAAGGAGGGGTTGGGAAGAGGTATTAACGGCTGTAAGTTAGAATATAACCTGCATATTGACACTAGCGGTAACTTGAGTTCAAATAAACAGATCACGTAGGATAAGATAAAGGTACCTTGAGTTTGACATTAATTTTCTATGAATAAAGATGGGGAACTAAATGCTAAAGACACAAGAAGTGTTTCATCACTCTTAATGAAGTTCACTGTCTTACTATAAAAGTAAAAACAAACAAAAAAACCCACAACAGTGCATTCTCAGCATTCCACATCTAATTAAGGTTCTGAGGGTAGATCTGGGCACATCACAGTCTGGTGTCTGGCACAGGCATGCGGGTCCTCCCAACCCTAGTTCATCAAAAGAAAACATTAAAACTGAGAATCAAAAAGATAACGATTAAGAAGGAAGCGACATGGTCCAAGGCATGTTTTACAGATGCTACTGATTATATAACCACAAGGAAAACATTTGGGAAGGCTATCAGAATGAAACATAACTTATAAGCAATTGCAAAATAAATACAGTGGGAACACATTTTAAAACTGATGTCAGGGGATGTGATCAAACAGCACACACCAGCATGGGCTTTTACCACAATCAGTTATGAGTCTCTTGGGGGGTGGGAAGGAAAGCAGCACAGGCCAGTAGCATTAGGGCTGAATCCTTTCAATAAAACAGCTGTAGTTTTAAACAGGGTTGTACTGAGCATGTAAAAAAAAAAAAACACAGCACAATGGCCCAGGCCTAAGATGAAACATGAAACCATCCGACAGCAAAGAGACAGACAAAAGGACCATTATTTCATCCTTTGGGCCGTCTCCTTTAGTTCTCTTCCCTCCACTACGGAGATGAGATGGCTGGACAACTCCAAACAGGGACAAACCTGAGTGGGTTGTGTTACCCAGCACATCACCGCTAATGCACTAAAGAGAAGAAGGTGGAAGGCAAGCAGGCTGCTGCTGAATGAAAACGAAGGAAGAAAGAGGAGAGAGCAGGGAAGGGAGGGAGAAACTCCGACATAGGTAGAGCAGAGTCACAAGCCTGCCTCGTTCGCTGAGTGGTTCAAGTGGCCTCCGGGGACACCCTCGTGACCTCTCAGCCCCCGAGTGGAGCACAGGTGCTGAGGGGATCGCTGAGAGGCTTGGAGAGTGTGCTGCCCGCCATTCACAGAATCCCACCACAGTGAGTGTGCGGGGTGACCGTCCTTATCATTTGGGTCCAGGCCTGTATTTATTTTTCCAAGCCCTTTGTTTTTCTGATGAAGACACAGGACCTGGGAGGCTGACTTGCCCAGGGGTCAGGCAGCTAATGAGCACAGGCCCAGAATCCAAACTGCAGACTCCCAGAGAGCGAGGGTCCTCCATCCTTCCCGTGGACCCCACTTCTCTCCTCCGAGCAATGAAAGCTTTGGGCAACAGCAATCAAACAAACAAACAAACCTCAGAAATACTAGGGAGATAATCAGCAGAATTTGGAGAAAGCGATACTAAAATGTACCAGCAAGTCTTGACACATAAAGGGGGCACGGCTTAGAGCCTAATTCTTTTTTAAAATGCTACTTTGAGCCCAGCCAGGCATGGCTCAGTGGTTGAGCTTTGACCTATGAGCCAAGAAGGTCACAGTTCAATTCCTGGCCAGGGCACATGCTCAGGTTGGGGGCTCAACCCCTAGTGGGGGGCATGCAGGAGGCACCCAATCAATGATTCTCATCATTGATGTTTCTATCTTTCTCTCCTTCTCCCTTCCTCTCTGAAATCAATAAAAAATATGTTTGTTTGTTTTTTTAATGCTACTTTGAATGAACCCAGAGGTAAAAAGATTCCACCTAAAGGGCCAACACTGAATCTGGAAGAGGACTGAGTGTTCCACAGGGACACTGTGGAGACGCAGATTTCTCCTGACGGTCACACTTAAAAGAAACAGTGCAACATGTGGTATAAAAGAAGAGTAGGCAAAATCAAGTAAAGAGATGCCTCGTAAGCACAGACATTTTTTTTCCTCCAAATAAGTCAATCAACATTCAGGGTTTGCCATTTAGCAAAGACTATACACTTTACAAATAAAACAAAGAAAAATCTTGAAGAGCTCATCCAAGGCCCCTTTTGAACTCTTCCAGAATAATCCTGATTAATCACCCAGTTGGCACCAATCCACAGCCCATCCATCGTGCCACTTGGAAATAGGTCCCACAGGGCAATGACTGGTAGACACTGGCTTGGGCAGCTCATCCCAGACACCATGTACGCCTCTTGTGGGGGAGCTCAGCTGTTTTCTATAATCACATCTTCCACATCAGTGGTCTTAAGTTGAGTAAAGTGAACGAGGCTATCAAATATTTGCTACCATTTTTTTCTGCTTTCCTCCATAAATATCAAGTCAAGGGAAAGAACTTAAATGTATACTCAAAAGCTATTCAAACTATGACCTGGAGACACCAATTGATTATACTTGAGTACAAAAGTAAGCACCTCCTACACACACACACACCCCTGGAAGGGGAAAAATAAGACTATTCCCAGTCAGTTAAATTCTAAAATTGACACAGATCAGAGTGGAGCTATGCAAAGTCACCAGGAGTCCCAATGACATAACTGAAACTTGATTCCATCAACGTACCTAAGGACTGTGCCCACCTGAAGGGGGTGTGGGGTCAGAGAGAGCAACTATAGTAATGGGCTGGAAGGGCCAACAATGGCGGTATAGAGTCCAGAGAAGCCCATCTGACACTTACAAACACACACTATGTACTTACAAACTCACACCCACATCAGGTTCTGGAAGGGGACCCATCAGGCTTGCAGAGCCCAGTGCTATTAAACACTGGCATCACACAGCTACTTTCCCATGTCCTGATACTGTTCACTGAGAAGCGCCTCATAATTTGGCTCCTTTGTCAGCCTAACAACAGTGCGGAGTGTGCTGGTCCAGTCAACCCCATACAACCGCCTGGCCTGATGACAGACATTCTGGGAATAAATAAATGGATGTCCTGACTTTAAACAAAAGCTCTCATGAGTTCTGTTAAAGCAAGTCGCTTTGCAAAGTATCAACTATTGGAGAATATTGAGTTTCTGGCCCCAGTATGAATACCAACAGGAAGGCAGTGGTAGATTCTTGAATGGAAATGCCACCATGAAGCAGTCATGAAGGCAACCGGCAGGCTCTCCCTGAATGACATCTTCTGCATCATCACACACATCCTTTCCACAGCAGCGTCAACTACTATCATTTTCCCCTAAAAAGGGAGAACGATGTCCTGCCACAGAAGTCAGCCAAATAGAAATGATGCAAACCAGCCTTCCTGACACAGTAATTCAGACCCAACTGACTAAATGACAAGCCCAGCACATTGAAAAGGAGTGGCCAGAAGCTTGCTGCTTGAGGACAATACATGGGGTCAGGAAGTAACTACAGACAAGCATTATAGGATAAAACATAAAAAATAGTGTCCTTTTTCACTTTAACTACAGTATGGACCAAAATACCCAGGCTTACCTCAAATAAATGCTGGCCAAATAGAATCCCTCTGTTTCTCCCCATAAAACCTTAGTTTCTAGGATAGCAAGTAATATAAATATATGATTGGATTTGAATACTTAAAATATTTGAAAAAACAGAACTTCAGCTGTCATTTCTGTAAGTTATACACTTTTGATAAAGAGAGGAACGGCCAGCCTCTAGGTCCCAACAACTGAAATTAACCAATGGGAGAGAATTTCCTATAATATTCATTTAAAATAAAGTAAAATGTGAGGTCATGCCATTACCCTTTGAAGACCAATGATCTGAAGTCATCCTATTTCCTTATTTCTCTGCTATCATGCAACATCTAACTTTCCCAAATGCCACAGAGTCTTCCTTTTAAAAGCCCCAGAAGTTAAACCAACTATCAAGCTTACTTTCCCTTCTTGGATTTCTTATTTAACGCATAAAGTCTTTGGGGATAGGCACAATGTCCCATGTGCCTATGTGTTAGCATTCTACACAGTGATTACCATGCTATCTATAATAATAAAAGGATAACATGCTAATTAGACCAGACATCCTTCCTGACGAAGCCAGGGCAGAAGGGAAGCCAGCCCAGGTCCCAGGTGCCTACGGGTGGCCCGAGGGAAGCCAGCTCAGACCACGGGTGCCTACTGATAGCCAGAGTTGGGAAGCTCGGGTCCCGGGTGCCAGAGGGAAGCCTGTGCCGGCAGCCGGGGGAAGGAAGGCCTACTCTTGCACGATTTTTCATGCATCGGGCCTCTACTATAAAATATAATATAAATTAGCCTCAATAAAACAGTGGGATGAATTCAATGCAAGCCAAACTCTATTCTATAAGTAATCATAATGGCAGTTGGTCAGACATGACTAACTTGTCTGAAATCACAGACTAGCAAAAGCATTAAAAATATTCCTCCTCTGGACTGCCATCCTGCCTGTTTATACAATTCCAAGTTGAACCTCTGAGCTGAGGGTAGGGACTATGTTTATTGGTTAATAGATACAAACGGAAGGCAGAACACAGGCTTTGCACCCACTCTGTTCTCAATATTTGTTGACAGATTTAACGAGGCTGCAGTGAACACAGATGAGAGATTTCTTCCAAATCAAGCAATTAAGCAACACTTATCGGAGTTTATAAGTTACGAAGAACATTCCTATATATTCTCATTCACTAGGAATGCAAGGAACCTCAGTTAAATCCTTGTGACATCAGGCAGTGGGATATGAAGGAGGAACATGCTGCCTTTTGTAAAATCCCTTCATGTCCACACCTGAATCAACCTTAATATCTCACGGTAAGAATAAGATCTTCTTACCCAGTTATCCTGAATAAACACTTCCCTTATGCACACTCCAGTTGAAAGAAATTCTCCCACCAAACTATCCATCTGACCTCAGAGCAAAGCTGTCTCTGAAGGGTCTCTCTTGTTTTGTCTACATAAATCAAAGCCAGAGTAGCAATATTTACAAGTGAAAACATTGGGAACTAAGATGTACA